AACCGGACACTGAACGAGTTGAAACCCGATACGTACTGTCTACTTATAGATAATTAACAGTTAAACAGGATGTTATAATTATGTGTTTTGTAGTAGCTTTTCCCTTTTCTATTTACTTTAATAGATTGTAATATGGAGATGTAGAGAATTTAGTAGCAAATATTATCCAGTTTATTTAATGGTACTGTTAGCAATATCCAGAAACAACAAGCCTTTGTTTTGAAATTCAACGCATCATATAGATACATATGTTCTTACCAATAAAACACCCAATGTTATGAAGTTACTTATCGACTAATATTATAAAGAGGTAAATTTGTATGTTTGTAAGTTTGTATGTAGGGGGTAATATTTGGAACCACTGGTCGGATTCCCAAAATTCTTTCACTTGTTGATAGCTACAATGTTTCCGAGTGCCATCGGCTATAAGACATTACGCTACAATGAAATGGAGTCGAGCAGCGAGTGAAACCGCGCGGGAGTAGCTAGTACGCTATATTTTGGAATCTGGAGAAGACAAGATAGTATGATACTACCTTGTCTTCTCATTAAAGATCACTGGACATGCATATAATCTTGTCTTTAGGTAGAAAAATCATCCAGGGACTTCGATAAGAGGAGGTGTCAGACTGTTATACAGTAGAAACCATCCCATTCCTACTTCTACTCCAAGAATCCTTTGACTTGACTGCACGGTTGGTGCGGTGGCTGGGCAACTGGCTGCCGTGCAACGTGTCGCGGGTTCGATTCCCGCACGGAACAACACTTTGTGTGATCCACAAATTGTTGTTTCGGGTCTAGGTGTTATGTGTATGTGACATTGTATGTTTGTAAACGCACCCACAACACAGGAGAAAATCCTAAAGTGGGGCATCGTTTTTATTTAACAAACAAACAAAAAACAAAATCCTGCGAGATAGCTATCTTTGATTAATTTGTTCCATAAAATATCCACTTCGCTAGATAATTTTGTCAACATTGTTTGTTTAGATGCAGTGGTTAGCAACGTGTGCCCTGCTGACCGTGCTCGCTAACGGTGGAGGTGGAGTTACTAAAACTTCTGGTAAGTTCAAAATTGCTTTGAAGTTTTCTTTTTACATGTAGCTAAAATAGAAGGTCTAGTGCGACAAATTATCCGACTAATCACCCCGTTTTAAGCATTACCTAACCAGTGCTTGGACTAGTATGATATTATTTGACAGGAATGCCATCTACCGACTGTAAAAAGAAAAGAAGAACTCAATTTTTTTTTATGTGATAGGACGGCAAACGAGCAGACGGATTACCTGATGGTAAGCAATCGGCGTCGCCCACACCCGCAACAAAGAAGGAATTACGAGTGCGTTGCCGACCTTTTAAGGATTGGGAAGGGATTGGGGTAGGGGAAGGATTGGGCCTCCGGTAACCTCACTCACACGGCGAAACACAACGTTGTGCTTGTTTCACGCCGGTTTTCTGTGAGGCCGTGGTATCACTCCGGCCGAGCCGACCCATTCGTGCCGAAGCATGGCTCTCCCACACTTTAATTTAGCTCAAGGGCAGGCGTAATTTCTCCATTAAGTTACTATAGTCGTTAGAAAACATCAGAAGAGGTCTTGAAATTAACAAAATGAAAGGGTTTTTGTAATCCCTTATTGGGATTACAAAAACCCTTTCATTTTTATCAGTGAGATCCGAGTACAGCCGTAGTTTCTATTCACTGCTACCTGTTATATAAATCGCCCTACATTTTCTAGGGCTTTCTCCGAAGTCGTTGATACGTTACAAATAATTGTAGATCACGCATGTTCATTATTTTGGACTATACGCGGAAATGGAATGAATGTAGGTAATGGGAATGTAGTGTGCATGTCAAAAGGTATGGTTTATGGTTCTTAAGGAATAATGTTGGTATGTTACACTCGCCTATTATACGAGTATAATATTAAAGTCTTTTCGATGGCGAAATATATTTATTCTGGTCTTATGGGCTTTCATAAATCAGCAGACTACGAACACAACAAGATAAGTTAGTAGAACTACCAACCATTTAATTATAAAAAAGATGCCATCGGTAGTGAATTCACAAGGAAAGTTGGTAAAGAGCTAGAAGATCCCGTTTCTACATTAAATTATACAACAAACGGGCATAACTGCAATCGAGAACTGGTCTTTGAACTTTCCTCCCCACAAGTGCACTTGTATTGCATTCAAACCACACCATCTTTCACTCTTCAGCCATGAAACGTGATTTAATATAATTTCAAACGGAAGTTCAAGTAGACGGATATTAAAAACAATTACTTGGTCGGTCTAACCCTAAGTACTTACTCCCTTTCTCTCTGCGATATTAAATAACAAATTGCTTGTAATTAAAGTATAGAACAGTCACGATTCTGTCGACGCTTGAAAAGGAAGGTTAATTGTGTTGATAATCCGACTGTCATCAATCATATTGTATTATAATAGTTCTAAATCTGCAACTGTCACATGCTAATATCATAATCTCACACACAGATTACGACATTCAATTTTAAGGGACATAAGGTCTTCTTTTTTGTTAAGATTACCTAACATGTATAGAAAATCCGAACGTTTAACTGTTGGGAAGTAGACCTTAAGGATCCTATCGAATTTCATAACTTAGGGAAGTTTACTCTTTCTTCCTTATAGACTTAATGATGCATTGTTTTTTGAACTTAGAAGTTGAGCCTGAAAACAAGGTAGTCGTAGTTAGGACCAATACGAAATTTTGAGATTAATTTTAATCAGTTAGTTTGACATTCGCATTTCGATACCACTTACACATTCAGCATTAGAATGAGGGTTTAAATTTAAGACTTACGGCAAAAAGGATATAATTTGTACTGCTTATATAATAAAAAGAATGTGACGACAATCCGAGATTACATCAACTCAACGGCTTAAGATCAATTTCACGATTTCTTAAACACAAATTTTGTCGGGTTTCTTTTCACCAAATAATTAATCATGTAACTTCCATGAGTCGGCGAAATTTATGTACCTACATCTTACTTTTGTAAGCGATATGTTCGAAAGTTACATATGTGTATAAGTCCGTATGTATGGATCAGTATAATGTCGTTTCGTTTACCTAACTTGTCTTTGTGTGCTTTCGCGATGTACCGGTTGTGACGCGTCACTTTTATCTCACCTTGAGCTGCAAGATCACAGTTTAATGCAACTTTCTTAAGCACCTTCAGTGTACTCGATATCTAATTACAAATCTTCCTCTTGCAGGCATCGAACAATTTTGGACGGACGACTACAAGATATTCGAGCAAGTTTACGGAAAAACTTCAGACAAAGACATCTATGGAGAGTCTCTGCCACCGAGCATTGTCATAGGCACAGACCATAAGAAAGAATCGTCACATAAGAATGAGCGATACCTTCTAAACCTCGATCATGGCTCTGAAGAACAAGACCCTTATGACTTCGGAGACCGATACAATAATATGCTAAGCAAACAAACCTTAAAATTGCTGAGTAAGACGAAACCAGCAACATCGTCAATAAACTTTGTAAGTTACTCGAACTTTAAGCCAATAAGTGAAAGTAATGATCCAGAGACTTACAACTATTTGAAGCACTTGGAAGAACTGAATAATGAGGAGAAATTCAGTTATCCACCAACGATGGGAGGGTTTAAACCTTATATGAGTTATTTAGGACCTAATCCAGAGGAAACAGAAGCCTATAAGAGCATACAGGAGATCCTGGAGGCTCACGAAGCGAATAAAGGTAGCAGCCATAAGGATGAAGATGATGGTAATGATGAGATGAAGTATATTACTTACCCGAAGAATAAGAATAAAAAGAAGAAACCCCCGCGAGTGCACAATGAGGTGTCCAAGCCTAGATGTGTCACGGGCAGATGTCGCAAGCGTGGAGCAGGGCCATACCGTTCGAGAAGCAGGCCGCACATTAGAGGAGTAAAGAAAACAGTATTTCTTGTATAGGTAATTCTTTGTTGTTATTTAGTTTTAGATTCTGCATATGTGATTTCGTTTTGTGGGCTCGGCTGCTTATGTTAATCAAATATTCTTGTATTTGTTATTTGTGTTAGTGATTTAGTTTAAGTTATTTTTGTTATTTATTTCGATCATACCTATTCTTCATTTTCATACCATTTTACCATCTACAGATTTCTGTGTTAACTGTCTTTCACTTGTTATAGTAGGTAATATATGTGCGAGTTATTGTTTCTATTTAAAGTAACACATTTCTCCAGTATTAGCCTTTACGACTTTCAAACGAATTATTTGCTATCAAACATATATATGCAGTTTCATCTTTTACTATTGTTTAATAGTTTTAATGTATTTAGTTATCTAATATGAGTACGATAATAAGTGTTGAATTTGTTATGTTTTGTTGTCAGTACACGTTACGTGAGTTTAGCCATTAGTTGTTAAAATGTAGGTAATTTATATTATTTAATATTTATATATGAACAGGCACCATTGCTGAAATAAAAATCGAATTAGCTTTTAACTTAATTTTAATACTAAGGTACTTAATCAATCTTACAATTTCGTAAGTAATCCTTTTCATCCTAATTTCGATATTAAAATTAGTGAAAAAGATTACTGCATTTTCACTCATACGCCTAAAAAGGCTTTTGAATATAGATAGTACCAGTCGCCTTGCCTTATAGCCTGAGTTACCCGTATAGGCATTGAGAACCAACAAGAAGACAGAAGAAGGGTCAAAAAGAAGAAATTATCTTGTAAATAAACAATAGCTATGCGTCCTCTGCCACTGCTTACATAGAAGACAATTTCGAAAGGAAAAGTAGAAGAGTATAAAAGAAAAAGATTTAATAATTAATCATGCAAAATCATTGGAAGAAATATAAAAATATCATTAACAAAATATTATAATACATGTTTGATCGGAACCTCATGATAATTATTTTGAATCTGGTTCTAAAAATTATTCTTATGAGGTTTTTCTTTTGTCAAGATTGAACCATTTTATTTTACATGTCTGCATCTTCAACTCACATGTAAACCCATTCTCCAAGTTATCCTTATCAACAACCTTAACACTTGCACTTTGAGTAAAGGTGCTTATAGTAGTTAGATTTTATACAAGGTCAGTATTAGTGATAACACTCAGAGTTGAATTAGTATTTTTAGTTATCACAGCGTTGTCAGTGCAATGTACTTTTGCATCTTAGATTTCGATCAAGGAATTACAAGTTTTGTTGTTCATTTGTATCTAGAAGTTTAAGTTGCCAATACATTGGTTGTACTGCAACGGCTCTTTACCGTTCCTCATCCAAACCTGAGCATCATCACGATGTAGTGTTAGGAGTAGAAGTTAGTACATGAAATTAGGGTTAGTTTCACTCTGCCTGCCGTTGGCTACTGGATTGGCAAGGCTCCTGGTCTTCTTTTTACTTTCTTCGATGCTCTGCAGCAGGAACGGCGGTGGATTATTCGGCCGCTGTTGCCTGTTGTCCAGCTCCCGTGTGAGTTCGTCGACAAAATTCGTGTGTTGTGCTGTATTATGTCTCTCATCGTACATACTAGGAGTATGTCTGTCTACGAACTGCCCACCCGTCTGCCTGGAAAAATAGGGGGATTAGCGAGGGCTTTTTTATGAAGGATCCTGTGAAGACGCCTATTGGGTTACGAGTGTGAGTGGTGAGTATTTAGTTCGCCAAGTGAAGTCTAATTTTCTAAAGTGAGCGTACTAAGAAAATGTAGGTGCACCTGACATAACGCATTCATTTCTCAAACTAAAATCTGAGCTGTACATAACAATTGGATATTCAAAAGACAATTACTTAGTAAACGTAGTATGAGGCATAAAATTCACAAAATAAACTACACAGACAGACACAGGAACGCCTCGGTACATCATCAACGAAAGAATTTAATCTCTATGAGTAATGGATCTGTGATGACACATTACTAAAAATAAAGCGATAATCATAATGAAAGCAGGTGTTATTGAGTAAGTAAGGATAAACGATTACAAACAGTTCCAGATAACATTAGGTTTGTAAACAATTATGGAAACGCGGTGTGTTTTGCGTCCCGTCGGGCGTTCGTCGTTCATTGCTGCAAAGGGCTGTGTCATTGCCCACGCAGTAGGTATAATATGAGCAATGTACGATGTAACACACGATGCACAGCGTTTTCATAAATAAAGCTTAAGTTGATAGGAAAATCAAGACTATCTTACAGAAAAGGTCTTTACAGTACAAGTGCAAATTACAGTTCGTGTTGCTGAATCCGGGAGAGTAGGGTCCAATTAGTTTGTTTGATATTCCTTTTCGAACTAATAGTTATTGATAATATAACTTTTGATCATACTAAATTTAAATAAACAAAATTGCACCAATACTAGGCACTTCTTGAGGAATATAAACAGGATGTATCATATGATATCAATAAAAGTGTTTCTATGTTATTTATACTAAACTAACAGATCCAGCCACGCGTTGCTGTGGCTAAGGTAAATAATATTGCGACTATAAATTGAGATGTAAGCTATCCTATCTTTCAAGTTGGATAAAAATGCACACGGAATGCAAATCAAATTTAAAATCGTTTTAGTAGTTTAGGAGTCCATCGCGGACAAACACGTGACACGAAATTTTTATATAAAAAGATTGTATGAAAAGGTTAACTGGTCATGGTATCACGTACCGCTCATGTCGGCCACTCTCCACGTCGTCCTGGCTGGTGTACATGGAGTAGCCGCGCCGGGACAGCTCCTCATCAGGAGAGAGCGCAGGGTTGTGAAAGGCGTGGTTCTTGTCGTTGTCCATCTTCAGCTTCCTGGAATACGGTTTGTTTGATATTAACGTCTGTGAAGTTTTAAGTAGACTTAACCTTACTTATATCATAAACGGGTTTGTAAGTTCTGTTATTCTTTTACATGAAATTTGGCACAGATATTGTTTATAAGGCTGGAACAACACGTAAGATACTTTTGACCCTGATATTGCGTGTGAAGCTAGTATAGTGTAGTTCTAATTAAAACTACTTACTTTATTAATAAATTAGACTATTTGAAACTCTAAAGATATTATAAGACAGAGAAAAAGGAATAAATACTTAAAAAGTTTTATTAAGATGGCTAATTTTTTATCTTGACTTAGTAGGTGTTGGTGTTTGGGAAGTCATATTAAAAATGCCATGCTAAAATAAGCGTAGTTATTTCAATACTTGGGTCGATAAAGGGCGCTAGGTTGGAAATAAACACAACCACAACATCATAGTGGGGCTTTTTTTTTAAATGAGTATAGTTTTTTGTCTCTGCTAATGACTAATACTAAAAGTATAAGTAAAAGTAAGTGACACATGTGTCTTGGGCAACAGAATCATGTTAATTAAGTACAAAAATACATGATTTATACGTACTGTATCCTCATGCGTCCACTGGCTTGCATCTCAGCGACCTTCTTCCGGAGGCTGGTGACCTGAGAGCAGAGGACCACAGCCATGATGAACAGCACCAGGAAGCCGCCACCGAACACGCTCGCTATCACTATTACCTGGGTCTCGACATCCTAAACAAAAGATAGAAAGACGATCATTATATAGGTGAACAAAAAAATATAATTTAAGGATAGATGAGATGGGATGCATATCTACATAAGAGTTAAAAGAGGATATAAGTAAAGGAAAAATATCTTAAGTTACTTAGGATTAGAACAAAATAGTAAGTAATCATTTTAAAATATCAAACCATAAATACAATTCCAGATTACCATAATAAACATAAGTACTGTAACACCTTGAGACGTGCTTCGTCCAACAGAGCTCTGTTGCTCAACAATTCTATTGTTTTATGTAAAGAATTGATGGAATTTAAACAAAGTATAAATGGGTTGCATTATTTTCAATAAAGTCAGCGCTTCTTTGGACGAGCCTTAACTCATAACACAAAAATACGAAGCCAGCAAAATGGTGTTTTATTTCACTTATCCCTCTCAACATTTCACTTCACAACACACTGGAATAAACCTTCACGATAAAAATAACAATAATCTTACCATATTAAAAATAGCATCAAACTGAATCAAGTATTAAAACAAATTGCTATTGATACACAGAATACAGACAAAATCACTTGCAACAACTGCCTGCCAATTAAAAACAATAATAATACTTAATAATATTTTTCAAATGATTAAACACGAGCGAAACGCAAACTTCACAATAAATTAACGCGAACTGACAGCAAAGAAATATAAACGCAGGTAGATAATGTAATGTGGGTAAATGATTACAAGTTTTTTGATAACATTATTGGGAATTTGCTAAATAAAAGTGTCGTTGACATCATTAATTTTGTTTCGTTTCGATGATAAGTATTTCAATACAAGTGACGAATTATTAATGTAGAAAGCGTATTGTTGTATTTTGATAAGGAATTAAAACTTAAAATAAATAGGTATATGATATCGGGAAATATAACAATTGAAATGTGGAAAATCCGATCGAGGAATATTATGTTAGATTGGCATACCTATCCTATTCCTGCTTCCTAATTTTTGAAGCGACACTGCATAGAAATCGACCAATTATTGTCTGTGTGTAAATGTAGGTAAGTACTTAAGAACCCGAATGAAAGTTGTTACTTTCAAAAAAAGAATTGTTAAGATTTTGATTCTACAATAGGGGAATACTATTTTAATAATACATTATTGAAACGTAGGTACCTAATAATACTTATATTTTTTTTGTGACTTCATAAGAGTTCTTAATGAAGGAGACAATATTGGTAGTAGTAGCTGACGTAAGTAAACATTTATTTTAGCTCTAAAACGACTAGATTTATAGTCTTACAGTCCACAGATCACATTTTATCTTTTTACAAGTACAAACCTTTCTTCTCTGTTCCTCTGTTACGTGGTTCTCACGTTCTTAAAGAGATTACTTGAAATCAATAAACAAATATTTCGAACCTCGATAACATGAGTATTTGTCACTTGTTTCGATAAAAAATCAATATCTTCCATCGTCATACCTTTTATCAATATTATCTCATTTTTTATGAAATTCCGATATTGTTCTGTATCAAGATATAAAGACAGGGCTATGTTTAAGCGCAGTGGAATGTTAGGTACTATTGTTTTATTGTATTAATTTAAATTAGATATTCAAATAATTTTATCAATAACAAAAATGTTGGTACGTCACTAATGTAAAATGAAGTCGGTTAACAATAGTCGACGAATTCCAAAAAGAAAGAAATAATGTTAACATTTAATAACGAAATATAGTAGGTAAATGACTTTAACTAACTACTTAAAGGTCTTTAAGACGCAAAAACAATTGGTACTGAAATTGATAAAGAGCAAACGACTGCTACTTTTAATAGAAAAAATAAATAGGCTATTAAAAGAGAAAATGTTTATTTAGTTGCTGATGCGTATGACGTTGGAGATGAGAAAGAAAACAATAGAATCAATGTTGTTGACCTGTTCGTACTGACTGTGTCACTGAAGTGTTATTCTTTTAAGAAATATTTGATTGATGAACAAGGTTGCAATGCAGATGAAGTGTGAATCATCCCTGAGTGACATCGAGAGTTCTTGACTACAGAAGAATTCGACTTAAAAAATTTAAGAAAAACATATTTTAACACGATGATTAAATGAAGAACTATGAAAATTTTGATTTTTGTAGATAGTATCAGCACGTACAAAACGTTAAAGAAAAGATAAATGTACACATACTCGAGAATTAAGGTTTTAAAGAATTAGTTGATATTGAAAGAACAAGGATATGCAATCACTCCAGAAATGTGATACGAAAACTATAAGATACAATAGGTAAACTATACACACTTGTAAGCAAAATTTTCATAGCACAAACATTTGATACAGATCACAATATTTATCACAATCTAAACGTACCATGTTTTAAGTTTTCAGAGAACACATCGTTGAGCAGCGCTGCCGTTGATGGCTGGGTGCGCACTGGCCGTTATCATCCGATATCACTGATAGCATCTGACTTATCGCGTGCCTATTTTCTTTGTATAATGTAAAGTAGCTCGTAACACGGAGAAGAAAACTTTTTTAAGATCCGGTGATAAATAACGTAAAAGTTTATATTGTTCATGATTGTTCTAAATTCTGATTTTTTTAAGAATGTTCTATTCTTGCCTATATTATAGGTAGATTCATTAACATAATTAACCCTGAACCCAAAACAACCATTTGTGAATACCATATGTGAAAAATAAATAAATTATTATTAAATTATTATTATATAGAATAATTTGTTCCGTTTTCAAATCCGTGATCAGTCAATAATAGCTGATTTAGATATTTCTTTGTATATTTGCCATTTGTTATTTATGCATTTCTAAATAGACTAAACTTGACTAAACTAGGAAAAATAATTTCAATTCTTTCTCAACTATTTTGTCTACGACTACTTTCCATCAATTTATATATGTAATTGGGATTTGGGACAATATTCTTTTCGGGTTTAGAGATCGTTATTGGTATATGTTATCAGTAAGATAATCTATGAGATATGAGTAAGAATAAGATAATTACCAGAAACGACGCAGTTCTTATAGAACAATAAAAATAACCGTAATTTGGAAATTAATGGATAAGTTATATTACTTATGGAAACATAATTTGTGTAGGTTACAGTATTAATCGGGGAAAATCATCGAATGACTTTTCCCGCCCTGGAGTGAGGCGAGAGGCAGAGTCAGATGTAGTACGGATAGATAAATATTATCAATGATTGAAAAAAAAAAACATTTCAATAAATAATATTATTTTATTATGAGGTTACTATCAGAATTTTCCTGGTTTTTCTAAGTGGGTCGGCAGATATAATAATAACATAAATAAATGATGAATCCGCAAGGCAGCTTGTGGCGAGCTGTTGGGCAGTGGCGACCCCACGGACCTGACTCCCGGGAGGTGTCTTGTTCTTCATCTCCGGTTAGTTCACGTGACGAGCTGGAGTGAACACTGATGAGGAACAAGCCCTCCTACCTCATTCTTTCCTTAATTGGCTGGCTTGAGTGGAGATTCGCAAGAGTAGAAGTTGATGGAGACTCGGGGGAAGGATGTATCTCAGTAAGGTGCTGGTAGGGGTCTTGTCCGTACTTCCGGGATTGCTCTGATAGCCGTGGGATGCCTCTCCTTCACCAAGCAGCTCAACGTATGTTGCCTCCGTGTCGCTACATGCTAGCGGCCGTTTCCGGGGGCTCATTAATTGAGTTTGCCAGTCACCCCCTGCCTGTTTATCCGTATGTATCAATATTGGTCAGGGGCAGGGGCCATAGTAGTTCCATAGTTATCAAATCCACCAGTCCATAGCAAACCATACCCTTAACCTACCTTAACCCTTTCAATTATTAACACATTTCGCAATAGTCCTGCATCAACCAGGGATTATCCTTGAGTGCTCTTTCATAGTGCATACAGGGATAATTGCCGGCTGATGTCCCATTTCACTTATATTAAAGTTGTTCAACGGGCCTCTGCAAGTTGGCTTCGTCTCCTCGTACGCCTTCCAAAGGTCCGAGATCCTGTGATCCCGTGAACGGAAACAAACATAAATGAGAAGTTCGTCATTATGGAAACTGTAATCCTACAGCTGACAGTTCAGTTGGGATCGATCGTATTATTGTCCTTTGGCGTATCTCAGGGCGCTATATTGGAACCCTAAGCGAAAAAATGGCCTAATTTAAGAATTTTATTAATCTTGAATGAAGTTAGGAAAATTGATTATGACTGTTAAAATTGCAAGTGGCTAAAAAGAATAACTCTTAGGATATTAGTCAACATTAGTGGTGGTGTCAAGTATATTGTTTTCAATGACGTCCTCTTCTGTTTGAAGTACCTAGTTGACTAGTTATAAGTACAATGACTATTATGAAGTACCGACTACTTGTACCTAACAAGTAGGGTATGTACCTATAATCCACGAATTTGGTGTAAAACAATATCGGAATAATTTACCAACTTACACTAAGATTGCAACCCTCTTTTTAGGCATGCTGCTACTTTTTCTGTTTGGTTTATTTTTGTGTGTTATGTTTTTTTTTTAACTGTACCTAACTTCATTGCACGTTTTGTAGTTGCCTGTTATTGTATTTTTGCAGCATATCTGAAGCCAACTGAATTATTGTTTACTTACATTATTTATTTTAAATATAATAAAATAACTAAAATTATCATTTTCGTTAAAATATAATATTTCGGCCGGTAACGCCTGACTGATTTTCGCCGCATCAAGACTCTTAAACGAACGAACGCCGTATATTTATGTAAGGCTCTGCTGATATTTTGTCAATTGTGTTGAAAACATTCTTTGGGGCATTTGTATGGCACATTTTCTATTGAAAATAATACTCATTTTGCAAGGCACTTAGTTGAAACTAATACTTTTGAAAGTATTAAGAACTAAGTAACTTGAAAGTATTTTTGAATTACACTAATTAAAGACTAGAAAAACTATAAAGTCCTGGCAAATCAGAATTTGGCTGGCAATAATTTATTAATTACTTATTAATACTTTGATATCGGATTATGCATCGATAGGGCAATAAGGTGCTGTAATGATAACAAATCAATTATCATTTTGGTACTTATTCTTTTTTATCAAGGTTCGTGATAAAGTGTGGCGACGAGGATCAAGTCCAGTGGAATTACTAATTACCTTTTTAAAATAGGTATTTCGATAAAAAAAGGAATATTTTCTTTTTGTTTAAATTTTTGTTCTAAGATTTCTTGGTACATTGTATAAGGATGCAATATTTTCTTAAGCTTTATCTTTGTCGTCCTGTTAATGTTCATTCAACATTTTTTCTATTTTGTTAATGATATCAATCGTTATTGTTACTCATCACAATACTATTTCCAATACATTGTTGTGCACTTCATGGACACCACCATCGAGTTCCGTGTCAGTAGACCTATGAGCTGCCAAAAATATGATGATGATTTCCAAATAATTGCTCGGCATTCCGTTGACAATGGGAACTATTTAGATGCGACCTTCATAAAGCACGAAGTTGATGGGAGATGAGGAATTTTTATTCATATGCTTTTTTTAAACATAACTATTGCCGGCGTGATGTAAAGATTTCCTATTGTTATGATTTAGTATATTATTCTGATATTAACATATGTATGTATGCGGAAAATGCGAATGAAGATACGTAGGCGGTGGCAGGTGAATTATCAAAAGTTGTTAACGCGAAGTTTTTTGTGACTGTGAATTTTAGGCTTCTTGATTGTTCAATCAATCTTAATTTACATTTAAATAATGTTTCTGACATTATGAATTTGTTAACTAAATCTGCACGCTTGTCGTGGCCTACAAATAGAATTCAGAAACAGCCAATAATGTAGGCACAATTAAAAGTGTATGATAATGAAAATCTTGGTTCAAAGAAGAATAAATCAATCAATATGACAGCCACACGAGTCTTTAAATCGTTACAGAAGAAAGAAGGGGATAAAACGGGAAGGCTAAGACAAAGGAAAATCCCAACCCATTGCTACTTTAAAAAATGATAAGGCAATGCTAACAACATAAGATCATTTTCCAAAAATTGAACATAAACATTTAATTAGAGCAGGCACAACAACTATTTGATTCGGTGTCGTAAAACCTCTAACAATCAAGATTGTGTAAACATAAGATTTATTCAACGACATTAATGAAATAACAATAAAAAATGTGAACGTATAAATCTAAAGTATACAAGTAGATAAAGTTATCTATAATATTGAAATAGATCAGATATTTTGTCAGTGTGGATATTACAATGTCGTTGATATGTGGCTTGAATGTCGCGTCCGGGTAATAAAATCATGTTGATGGCATCATGTTGATTGACGTTGAATCTTTTTAACATGTTAAGGAATATAAAATACATTAAGTTTTTGTGGGACAGCTTGGCAGACGGGCCAATTGATTATCTGATGGTAAGCGATCGTCGCCGCTTATGAAAACCCACAATATCAAAAGAATTTTGGGTTGGTAGGGTAAGCCTCCGATAACCTTATGTACACTGTAAGGACCACCCAGAGAACAAGTTGGATCATACGGTGGCGGAGTCACCCTGCTTGGGCTGAGCACCGCCGTTGAACCGGGATTGCGGGGCTAGCACAATAAGGTACCGCGGCCTCGGCCTAAAGTAGGGAGAACCCCTTTCGCCATACCCCAGGCAAGAAATGTTATTTTAGATTTTACCCCATTAAAAAAAGCAGTCAAGCCCTGGAATTTAACTCAAGGATCATGAGGCCATTGAGCATCAATAAATTAAGATAAATTGTAAAAATAAATTGCAAAGTAATCCTATTGTGTGTAGGTAGATACCAAATATTAAACTAACAAAAATTTTACAATCAACACGGAGGCCACATCAATTGTAATTAACATCAAATCAAATCAAGAGACATGAATACGCATTGATGATACGCAATTAACAATTATGTTCGATGGAATCCAAATCATCAACATTTTAGTAATTAATACCTTTGTCGAAGATAATGGCGACCATATCATTATTATAACAAAGTATTTGCATATGAACGTGGAAATCCAAATAATAGCTGCAATTACTATCGAAAACAAAGATAAAGAACCAAGGTTTTGCGGTTCAAAAGGTAATTGTCAAGCAAAATTCGAATTAAAATCCAGCAAGATAAAGGTTATTAAGATTCAGGATAAACGAACAACAGTTTGTAAGGATTGGTATGTAGATTGGTCTCAGATGAACAAACAAAAGAGGTTGCACCCTGCAAGCCTTGAACTTCTCAACTTGAACAAGGGCACTTAATATCAAACTGTTACTTATACTTGAAGAGCTCTTAATTTAGAACTCAACAATGTGCCAGATGTAACCTCTGAGTCATTTCTATTGTATTTAGGCAATTCTGAAATAAGTTAATCATACTGCTAACAATGTAAGTAGCCGACGGCAAGTTATTTAATAATGTTTTCTGTATGCCTACAGTATAAAGAACAATAATGCTT